GCCTCCTGGGTTCAAGTGCTTCTCCTGCCTCAGCCTCCCAAGTAGCTGGGATTACAGGCATGCGCCACCACACCTGGCTAATTTTGTATTTTTAGTAGAGACAAGGTTTCTCCATGTTGGTCAGGGTGGTCTCAAACTCCTGACCTCAGGTGATCTGCCTGCCTTGGCCTCCCAAAGTGCTGGGATTACAGGTGTGAGCCACCGCGCCCAGCCTTTTTTTTTTTTTTTTTTTTTTTTGAGACAGAGTCTCGCTCTGTCTCCCAGGCTGGAGTGCAGTGGCGCAATCTCAGCTCACTGCAACCTCCACCTCCCAGGTTCAAGAGATTCTCCTGCCTCAGCCTTGCAGTCGCTGGGACTACAGGCACATGCCATCATGCCTGGCTCATTTTTGCATTTTTAGTAGAGACAGGGTTTCACCATGTTGGCCAGGCTGGTCTTGAACTCCTGACTTCATGTGATCTGCCCGCCTTCGTCTCCCAAAGTGCTGGAATTACAGGCGTGAGCCACTGTGACTGGCTTTTGCTTTCACTTCATTTCATTTTCAGATTTTTCATTGCTAGTGTATAGAAACGCAACTGATTTTTGTGTGTCGATTTTATTTCTTGCGACTTTGCTGAATTGGGTTATTTGTTCTAACAGTTTTTTGTGTGTGTGGAATTTAAGTCCCTCCTGATGCCTGTCACATCTGGCCAGGAGACTGCTCATCCTGGCTACTTCCTTCCGTCACTTTCCCCGTGGCTTCTTATGCTGCAGTCGTCACTAAGAGTATCAGGAGAGAGTTGCTTTGCTATAATACAACTATTGCCACCAGCAAGACTTTCTGGGTTGGCATTTAAACCGAAAAATGGACCAGTATTTTTAGGATGTGTCTGGTAGTTGGTACCCCAAGGCTGGACCTTTCCCTACACTGTCCCTACAATCATTACATTTCACCAACATGGAGGTGATTTGGTGTGAGTGGCCTAGAAACCAGAAACTTGAACACCTCAGGAATTTCTTTGGAGCAACTTGAGGCAGAGGCTCCTTCCTTGAACAGCATCCTGGTGCCCTTTCTGAAGAAGCAGTCTGGACTGATTCTGCTATGATTACTGGGATGTCAACCCCATCATTTGCCGCATTCGAATCCCTGACCTATATGACCAGCTGCACAAGGCAGCTTCATGGAGATGGGCCTCTGGGAGCCTAAGCCACTTGTTTTGGATTCAAAAAGCTTTTGAGGCCGGGCGTGGTGGCTCATGCATGTAATCCCAGCACTTTGGGAGGCCTAGGCGGGTGGATCACCTGAGGTCAGGAGATTGAGACCAGCATGGCCAACATGGTGAAACCCTGTTTCTACTAAAAAATACAAAAATTAGCCGGGCATGGTGGCATGTGACTATAATCCAGCTACTCAGGAGGCTGAGGCAGGAGAATCACTTGAACCCGGGAGGAGGAGGTTGCAGTGAGCTGAGATTGCACCATTGTTCTCCAGCCTGGGTGACAGAGCAAGACTCAGTCTCAAAAAAAGAAAAACAAAAAGCATTTGATAGAAGATCAAGCAGTACACATCAGTTGCCAACGGGAAAATGCAGTTATACCATTCAACCATATGGCTTTCCAACTATGTCTCAACTCTACACTGATGCTGCTTTCTAATTCCTTCCAATCCAGGACGGTTGAGCCTCCATGTTTGATATTCCCATCTTTCTAGGATCCTACCCACCACTAATGGGATACTTTTATTCAGACATTTCTGATTTGCCTCTTGTAGCATCCACTTTTTACCAAAATGATAGAATTTGACCTAGAGGAAATTGAATTATTTGGGCTATATCCCATCATCATCTCTCTCTGGAGGCAATGATCAGCCATCAGAACCTTTAGATCTGTGGGTTTGGGGGGCTACTCTTAGGGGTCCAGCATGTACTTCTCTTTGACTGGGTCTCTTAAGAAACTTATCCCACCATTTCTGGGTCACCTGAGGCTCATGACCACTGTGACCCAGCTTATCCTCCTGTCAAACACAATCAAGGTCCCTGTAAAGTGGCAAAGACAATACCAGGATTTAAGGTGATACCTGGGAAACAGGAGCCTAGAGCCCACCCCATGGTAGGTACTCATTTCCATTCCAAACTCTGTACATCCCAGTAGTCCAGAACCATAGGATCAGTACCCTGAAAGAGAAAAGGAAAAAAAAATTCTTTTAGATGGAGTTTCACTCTGTCACTCAGGCTGGAGTGCAGTGGTATAATCTCGGCTCACTGCAACCTCTGCCTCCCGGGTTCAAGCCATTTTCCCACCTCAGTCTCCTGAATAACTGGTATTACAGGCATGTGCCACCATGACTGGCTATTTTTATATTTTTAGTAGAGATGGTGTTTAACCATGTTGGCCAGGCTGTTCTCAAACCCCTGACCTCAAGTGATCAGCCCACCTTGGCCTCACAAAGCGTTGGGATTATGGGCGTGAGCCACTGTGCCCTGTTGAAAATTCTTAACTTGTGAGATTCTCACTGGAAAAGACGATCAGAAAATTTCATGGGTCATGACATGAGTTTGAACTGACCCCCATCAGCAGAAAAAGCAACAAGAGGCAGAGCAGATGAAGGATCAGATCACCACTGTCAGTACAAACCTCTTTTCTGTCTTATGGGCTCTATCTCAGCCTGTGATGTCTCTCTTCCTACACAGGGCTACCTGGATTCTGGTCCATGTGGTATGACATCTTATCTGGGTGCCATCACCGTTTTTCAGACCCTACCCAATGACACAGCTCCACTACAAATTAGGGCATTGTGAAGCCCCCCTTGGAACTATGAAGGCCCTAGACTCTTCTCCAGCCTCTCCCAGGCCTTCTGCAACCCAAAATAACTTAGAACAATGGCATGATCTTTTGGGGTTTCATTCTCTGGCCAAATGAGCCCATTTTCCAATGTCAAGGCAAAGCCATCAGGTTGGTCAAGAGACTCATGAAAGACCTTTCCTGTCTTCTCAGGCTCCCGAACAGGATGATCTCAGATCCCCCCTCATACACCAGCTGGAACTCTGTACTCTATCTTCTAGGTCAGTAATTTCAAAGGGCTTTCCTTGGAGCCCCTCTAGGGTGTATTAGGGGAGGATCAAGCAAGACGAACTCCACCCCTCCTTTTCTGGCTTCAGTCACAGCAGTTTCTACTTTTCTCTTACATTTTGAGCTTCATCCTAATATTTATGTTAGAACAATGTATTCCACTGATTTTTCAAAAGGTTGGGAAACCAGTGGTCTGTTCCAAGGGCACTATTCTATGGTTGACACCCGCAGAAGCAAAGCACACCCACTGGGTTGTACTCTCACCACAGAAGGTCAGTGCTGAGACCTTTTTTCCTCCATCAGAATTCCAGCCACAAGTCCATTATCCATCCCCTCCCCAAGGATCATCAGGTAGTACCTCTCTGGACAGAGGGCAGAATTTTGCTAAAATACATTCTGCCTGCCTCTTATGAACTGCAGCCCCTGCCCTCCACACTGACATAGCATCATCAGACAGACAGACACCTCAGGATCCCCAGGGCAGCCTAGGCCAAACCCACCCACCTAGGCCACCCACACCACCTGGGTGACATATGGACACACACATAGTCTTGTTGGAGATTTCTCCCCTGCTAACTTCAGTCAGTTCTGAACAGTCTGTTCTTCCTTTGCTGTCACCCAGGCTTCAGTCTATGACCCCCCCACTTGCCTTGTTTCCCCTGCACTCAGAATCCAAGGACCCCCATCTGCCTAGTCAAGCTGGTCAAGGAGTAGAACCATTTAGGATGGGTTTTCCTGCACTCCAAGCTCTTGAAGATAAAGCCTGAAGCCAGTTTCCTATCCACTCCTTCTCTCCCAACTTGTATTGTCCCCTACATGATCAAGCCCCATCCCAAATTCAGAGATTTACCTTGGTGCAGAGTAAAAAGCCAGACTTTAACAGCAGGCTGAACCCCTCTACCCCAGGCTCCCAGAGAGTGTTCCTGAGGCCTAACTTGCTGGATGTGCAACAAAACCCTAGTTTCCAGCCCCAGCTCTCCAGTTTTCTTCGAGGTACACAGGCCCAGCATGCCTTTCCTGCATTTCTGCCGCTCCCATAAAAAGGGTGGACACAGGGAGGAATCAGACTGGTTCTCTGATGGCAATCCAGGTCTACAGGCAGAACTTTTTCTCTAATAGCATGAACATTTTGGAAGGCATTAAGGGCAAGAGGACAGGGGAATCAGAGGGAAGGATACAGAGACGGCACGAGAAGCTTGCTGAAGGGACAGGGTGGTGGAGGTGGGAGTTAAGGAAAGGGGTCAGAGGTTCAGCAACTGTAGTAGGGAAAATGCTAATGTTGGAGGCTCAGGAAACCAAGGTCCTGCTCTCTGTAGGCCTTTGGGAGGAGCATCCAGGTTGGATGTGGTGCAGAGGTTAAGGATTCATCATGCCAGTGATCAGTGCCTAAAGATGAGGCAGTAGGATGAGAGGACTGTTTTGTGTGCTATTTCTAAATCCAGAACCCTCCTTGATATGAGCAGGAAGGGGCATTGATTCTAGCCAGCACTATCAGGCTGACCAGCAAGGATGTACTTCTCTTCTCTGGACCCAGTCTGAATAGAAAGGCTTTCTCTGAGCACCCTCTTCCTTAATACTACAGAAATGGTCCGAAACAGCATTTCCCGAACTCTAAGAACAGAAAGGTCAAACATGTAAAACCATGCATATAGGGCTCTACCCAGTCAAAGATATCAAGACTGCATCACTCCCCACAAGAGCAGCCCTGAGACTCTCTGGGTTTCCCCAGGACCCAGGTTTTCCTGAGGGAAAGCTGAGCTGAGCTCCCTTCTCCAGATCCTTTCCCCAGATCCCGCCCCTTAATGAAAACCAACCCTGGATGCCCAGGGCCTTCTCACTCTCTCTGCTTCCCAGAGTGAGACTGGTGAGCTACCTTCCTAAGTTCCTCGGGCTACTCTTGGGGGATCTAGGAAGACTTGGGGTCCCTAGGTCATTCCTGGCTTTGTCCCCAGAGGACCGAAAGCTGTTTGTGGGGATGCTGGGCAAGCAGCAGGGTGAGGAGGACGTCAGACGCCTGTTCCAGCCCTTTGGCCACATCGAGGAGTGCACGGTCCTGCGGAGTCCTGACGGCACCAGTAAAGGTGACCTGAGCTGACCCCGGGATTTCCTGGTGACCCTTCCTCACTCTGGGCCACATGACTCTTTGGCCTCTGTGGCCTGAGCCACCCGCTCCCTCTGTCCTGTCCCAGGCTGTGCCTTTGTGAAGTTCGGGAGTCAAGGGGAAGCTCAGGCGGCCATCCAGGGTCTGCACGGCAGCCGGACCATGGCGGTGAGGGCGGATTCCCCGGGCTGAGGGTGAGACCAGTGGGATGGGGACGGGCTTCTCCTTCCCGAGTGTGCTCGGTGCCCCGCGAAAGGACCTGATGGGGAAGGCGCTCGGCCCCGGGCCGGGGCCAGGGTCAGAACCGGTCACCACGGTCTCCCCTGCCCTGCCCAGGGCGCCTCGTCCAGCCTCGTGGTCAAGCTGGCGGACACTGACCGGGAGCGCGCGCTGCGGCGGATGCAGCAGATGGCCGGCCAGCTGGGCGCCTTCCACCCCGCGCCACTGCCGCTAGGGGCCTGCGGCGCCTACACCACGGCGGTAGGTACCGGGCACCTGCGTGCAAGGGCGCGCAGGTGGGTGGGCCAGGCCTGGGGCTGGGAGCACGGGCAGCTGACTGCCCCTTGGCCCTCCACTCTCGCCCATCTTTCCTCCCAAAGATCCTGCAGCACCAGGCGGCCCTGCTGGCCGCGGCACAGGGCCCAGGCCTAGGCCCGGTGGCGGCAGTGGCGGCCCAGATGCAGCACGTGGCGGCCTTTAGCCTGGTGGCTGCTCCTCTGTTGCCCGCGGCAGGTAGGGTGCCCAAGGACTGGGGCGCGCCTGGGAGGGGCCGGGCGGGGCCGGGCGGCGTCCTGACTCTCCGACCTCTTCCGCCATCAGCAGCCAACTCCCCGCCCGGCAGCGGCCCTGGCACTCTCCCAGGTCTTCCGGCGCCCATCGGGGTCAATGGATTCGGCCCTCTGACCCCCCAGACCAACGGCCAGCCGGGCTCCGATACGCTCTACAATAACGGGCTCTCCCCTTACCCAGGTGGGCCCCCCGCTCCGCCCAAATCCCCCCGAAATGGAGTGGGGAGCGGGGGGGTGGGGGGTAGGGCCTGGCTTCCCTGGGAAGAGATCTCCCTCCTTCCCTGCTGCCTCTCACAGCCAACGTCCACCTCCCACACTCCCTGAGCTTCTCACCCACTCCGCTCGCCCGCTTGCCTTCACCGTGGGCCTTGCGCCCCTCTCTCCCCAGCCCAGAGCCCTGGCGTGGCTGACCCCCTGCAGCAGGCCTACGCTGGGATGCACCACTACGCAGGTTTCACTTGGCGCTACGCGGCCTGGGGGAGGTTGAAGGGCCCCAGAAAGAAATAGGGAGAGTTGTGGGGGATTTAGGCTCTGTTCCGAGGAGTTGATCCTCCCATCCTCTCCTACCCCCAGAACGACCTCTCTTGGGGTGAGGGTTATGGTGGACTGGGCTGAATTGGTCAAAAGCGGCCAGGCACTTGGGGCCCTGCTTGGGGAAGGGCTCTTGGGGATTACTGCCCACTCCCACCTCTGTCTCCAGCAGCCTATCCGTCGGCCTATGCCCCAGTGAGCACAGCTTTTCCCCAGCAACCTTCAGCCCTGCCCCAGCAGCAGAGAGAAGGTGAGGGACTGGGGGCTGGAGAGCAGAGCCTGGTGGGGCTGGACTCAGGGTCCCTCCCCTGAACCAGCCTGCTACTGTTCCTGCAGGCCCCGAAGGCTGTAACCTCTTCATCTATCACCTGCCTCAGGAGTTTGGTGATGCGGAACTCATACAGACATTCCTGCCCTTTGGAGCCGTTGTCTCTGCTAAAGTCTTTGTGGATCGAGCCACCAACCAGAGCAAGTGTTTTGGTGAGCTGAGAACCTACCCCTATGCCTCTCCCACCTCTGACTATAAAGGATTCCCTACAGACCCTACGATTGTCCTTCCATAATGCAGTGATTTCCTGAGATTGAATGTATGGCACAAAATGGGGTCACAAACCAGTGATGGGGCTAAGCTTAGGCTAAGAACAAGCCTTGGTCAGGCAGGGTGGCTCATGCCTGTAATCCCAGCACTTTGGGACGCCAAGGCAGGTGAATCACTTGAGGTCAGGAGTTTGAAACTAGCCTGGCCAATATGGCAAAACCCCATCTCTACTAAAAATACAAAAATTAGCTGGGCGTGGTGATGGGTGTCCGTAATCCCAGCTACTCAGGAGGCTGAGGCAGGAGAATTTCTTGAATCCGGGAGGGAGAGTTTGCAGTGAGCTGTGATGGCACCACTGCACTACAGCCTGGGTGCCAGAGCAAGACTCCATCTCAAAAAAAAAAAAAAAAAGGCCGGGCGCGGTTGCTCAAGCCTGTAATCCCAGCACTTTGGGAGGCCGAGACGGGCGGATCACGAGGTCAGGAGATCGAGACCATCCTGGCTAACACGGTGAAACCCCGTCTCTACTAAAAAATACAAAAAACTAACCGGGCGAGGTGGCGGGCGCCTGTAGTCCCAGCTACTCGGGAGGCTGAGGCAGGAGAATGGCGTAAACCCGGGAGGCGGAGCTTGCAGTGAGCTGAGATCCCGCCACTGCACTCCAGCCTGGGCGACAGCGAGACTCCGTCTCAAAAAAAAAAAAAAAAAGAACAAGCTTTATTTCAGGTTTACCTGGGACGACAATCAGGTGTCCACCGGGAATGTGGCCAGCTAGGTCAGAGCTTTGGAGTCTGGCCAGGGCAGGAGGAGTTTGGTTATGAGACCAAAGATCCCCTCCGACTCCAACTATGTTCTGAGGACCAGAATGGGAGCTGTAGAGGGAGACAGCCAACCCATGCCAGGAAAAACACGGAAACATCCCGATCAACACACTGACCCTGCACACACACTCAGAGTTGCCTCCTATCCTTCCAAGAATCACACCTTTAGGAATCTCAGGCCGTCTGCCTGTGACTCTATATCCATGTGTGTACGCAAATAGTGGAGGGGTATGTGTTTGATGGAACTGGCCGGAGGGGGCTGGGTCAGAGGCCCTGCCAGGCAGAGTTCCCAGCTAATCTCTTTGCCCACACCCTCCAGGGTTTGTTAGTTTTGACAATCCAACTAGTGCCCAGACTGCTATTCAGGCAATGAATGGCTTTCAAATTGGCATGAAGAGGCTCAAGGTCCAGCTAAAGCGGCCCAAGGATGCCAACCGGCCTTACTGACCTGCTCTCACCGACCAGCCACAGAAAGGTGAGTCCCTGATGGACCCCAGGTAGATGAGGCCTGAGTGATGAGGCCCTCCCAGCTTTGATGGTCCTCCTTTTGGGACCTTGGAGGCACCCACCTCTGAGAAAGTCTGGGATAGAGAAAAGAGCCGGGAGCTAGGAGGAATCCTCAGATGGTGACTTTGCTTTTCCTTCAATCCAAGGAGATCAATTAGACAACATTCCTGCCCCGTAGTCTAGGAGACATAATCAGAGTCTTTTCTGCCTGGGGAAGCAGTTCTACTCCAGAGATAGCCAATGAGAGTACGTAGGGAGGGTCCGGGAGGCTGGAAAATGAGACTAGAAAAGTTGCTCTGGGCCAGTTTTCAAGAGTCTTCAGGCCATGAGTTTCGACTTTATCCTGAAGATGAGAAAGAACCGTTGAGGAGCTTAAGCAGAGAAAGGACTAGAAGTAAGGGCTGAGATAATGGCAGTGAACATGGAGATGGAGGAAGAGAAGCAAACATGCTTCAGAGGTTGGAATCTGCAGGGCCTGGTGGGTGATGGAGAGAGAGATGGGCCAAGTTCTTCTACATTTTTGGCAAGGTCATGGGTCCATAGGATGCTGCCTGCAACTTTTAGAGATTTTCTGTCTCAGAAGGCCCACATGGCCCTGCCTCACTTTGAGCTACCCCAGGAGTCTTCTGGAGGGGATGTGGGGTTGGGGTCTTTTGCTCAGGACTCAAGTCTGGCTTCAGTGGACTGGGCTGCTGCCTGGGTCCTGCTGCAGCCCTGCTCCTCAGGAAGAGAGGTCCAGCCACTCACCTGAGATGTCACTGATGGGGGCAAGCTGCTCTTCTGGTCTTGCCCTCCAAGGTGATTTTTGCCTTTTTTCTTCTCTCTCTCTTTATCAATTAATACACAACAACAGAAACGGAAGAGTGAGAAGAAAGGAGAGGAAAAGCACAGAAACGCTTGAGCAGCCCTTCCCAAAGGAGCAGCTGCGGACAGACGGAGGTGGATCGGACCCAAGGCTGGTGCCTGGGGCTAAGGCCACTCTAAGGATTGTTTTTATCAAGTGGGTTGTTCTGTGCCTGCAGCATAGAGCGCAGGCTGGCAGAGCAACTAGGGCTGGTGAAGAGTGACTGTCCAGGGGAACCAGCAGAGGGCGTTGGGGGTGCCAAGGGCTTCTCCACAAGGGAAGCCCAGATTCACTTCTTACAAAATCATATCATTCCTTAGAGTTTAGGGACCAAAGGACTATTGCTTTTTTAAGAATATATATATCTATATAAATTAAAACAAAGAAACAAACAAAAAGACAAACAACAACAAAAAAAGACAGTATAGAGTCTCATAAAAGCTGCCTTTAAATATCCCTAGGAGACAGGGTGAAGGAGACCCTTGACAGCCCCAGCCTAGGCAGAGGGAGGCTGTGGAAAGATTGTTCTGTGTCTCATTCCCTCTGAAGCCACTCCCCGACCCTTCCCCTTTAAAAATAATTAAGGATTTGAGGTCTAGGCTCATATGCAGGTAATGAGAAAGTTATAGAAGCAGTGAACCCACAATCCACAATCCTCAAACTCAGAGTGCATCCCGGAAGAGGCCCCAGGCGGAGCTCAGGTCCGCCCTGGCCTTTGCCATCCCAGGAGGCCCCCTAGCCAGCAAGAGTGGGACTGCCTTTCCTGTGGAACCACTGCTTCCCCAGGCAGGAAGAAAGAGGGAGTTCTGGCCACCTGAGCCTTTCCCTTGCCAATCCAGGTAGACAGAGGCCCTGCCTTTGGCTGAGCTGAGACACCTCTTGTTTCCCTTCCCCTTGAACCAGTCCCAATGTCCCCTTGCTCCAGGCTACCTTCTGTCTCTTAGTCTAAGTTTGCCCACCTGTAAAGTAGATTCAGGATATCTGTACAGGGCTGTGACAACAGACTTGGAAGGTTTGCTACTGTATATACTGCCATTGAGAAGGGGAAATTTTTCAACATGTAGAAGCTTCAGAATTAGAGGTCCCTCTTTACCCCGGACCTGAGAGGAAAGTAGATGTTTTGCCAAAATACTACTTCATTCCTTTAAAAAGTACATCTTTCCTATGCAAGAGTGTCTCACATGTGCTTAACCGAGGTGCTTCTAGTTGGTGAGCAGTGTTGAGCTTAGAAGTGGTGTGTGCTCTGTCTGTCTGTCTTTGTCTGTCTGTTGTATACAGTGGGTGCCATATAAAGCTGATCAATGGTGGTGCTTCCTGCCTGCTTCTGTGAGATGGGCAAAAGATTCAGCTTAGAACACCATGACTCACCTTGCCTTGGTCAGCCTTTCCTGGGCCTGTAGGGCCTTGCACATATTTTTCCCAGGAGGATTTCCCCTCCACCCCACAGACATGGATCAGCTTAGTCTGAGGCCCCAGCTGTGTGGGGTCACTCTAATCCCCAGATGTTGCTGAGGCTGAAGGCCTCTGATCTGATAACATGTCAGATAGTAAAAGATGTGGGGGTGGGGTTGGAGGACTCCTCCTTCATAACAGTTTCTAAGAAAACTTGTTCCCACCTGTTCTTCTGTCTTTGACTCATTTTTGGAGGGAATGGGAATGAAACATAGATCTGGCAGTAATATTACCAGGTAAGTTGTGATAGACATCCACAAATATTTTCCAACTGAGAGAAGAACCAGAGGGTATATGTACACCAGCACAATGCTGATACCCAGAGTGACCATCCTGGACACAAACAGAGACACACAGTACCTGCACCCTCAAACTGATATTCACATGGAGGCACAGAGTCCTCTCAGGCTAGGTGCTAAGCACTATGCTACATGTTGGGGCTCAGGCATGTTCCAAGTACTCAGAGTCAAGGGGAACGAGAGACAAATAATCCAGTTACAATGGAGGGCCATAGAAGGTCTGTGCTAACAAGAAGGAGAGTACCTAATTCAGACTTTATTGGTAGGGGAGGTCTGTGAAATACTTTCTGAAGGAGATTAAGAAGGGGAAAAGTCTTCAAGGATGAACTGAGACATTTGGACAAAGCCATTTAGACAGCTCCATCATTTTGAAAAATTATCTTTATTACCAAGAAATAATAGTAATTACCATTTATTCAGTACCCGTTGCGTGGCAGATAATGGGCACAAGATAAGACCCTTTTCCCATTCCTAACGCTACCCTGCACCTTACCATTACTGAGTCATGTCAAGACACTTGAACCAAAATGATATTTAAAATATCTTGCTTCATACTTTACAGTATGGGCTAGGGACTGGCAGACTGTGTGGTTCCAAAGCTTTAGGGTTGACATGGTCTAGATTAGGGGTTGGCAAACGATGGCTTGTGGGCCAAATCTGGTCTGTGGCCTATTTTTATATGAACTACCAAACTAAGAAATTTCTTTTACATTTTTGAAGCGTCGTCAAAACGAAACAAGAAAGCGAAACAGAGACCACATATGGCCCACACAGCCTAAAATATCTATCTTGTTCTTTAGATAAAAAGTTTGCTGACCCCAGTAAGATCATGGAAGACTTATATAATGTCTGATGAGTTTGAACAATATGGTGTTTGTGTCTCTCTGTGTGCATGTATTAGTCTGGACCTTTTCAGTTGCAAGTGTCAAAAACCCAACTCAAACATGTTTAGGCCAATTGGAATTAATTGGTTTACATAACTGATAAATCAAAGGATGTATCTGCCTTGAATCATGGCTGGATCTAGGGGTTCAAAAGATGATGCCTCCATCTCTTGGCTCCCCTTCCTTCCATATGTTGGCCTCATTAGCTCTAGTTCTAAAATCCCAGGGAGGACTTTGACCAGCTTTGGACACATGCCCACCACTAGGATGGAAGAGTAGGCCACCATAATTGACAACTTCATCAGGACTGTGTGGAGGGGGAGAAATCGGTCCTGAAGGAAGAGATGATGAGCAGATTAATAATATGCATCCACTATATCCCACCCTTTATTGCATCCACCTATACTTTTCTTGACAGACATACAATTTCAAAAATGTGCCTGCCTGAGAATGCAATAATCATAGACCCAACAAAAACCACATTCACCTATTTCCCAATGGGAGATAAAACAGAATCACATCCAGTTGCTTTATTGAGTCCTCAGTCCAGGGTCCCTTGGTGATGGGCAATTCTTGCTCAGGTCTGGATATGACTTCTTAAGATTTTGCCATCTATGGGTAAAAGATAAACTTAGCTACCCCATACTTGTCCTATAACCAAGGTAAAATAATGGAGAGAAAGAGGATAACAATTTGTTTTAAAGAGATGGGGTCTTGCTAATGTTGTCCAGGCTGGACCTGAACTGCTGGGCTCAAGCAATTCTCCTGCTTCAGCCTCCTGAGAAGCTGGGACTACAGATACACACGACTGAATAATTTTTAATTCTTTTTTTTAATTAAGATGGGGACTTGCTACGTTGCCCAAGCTAGATTTGAACTCCTAGGCTCAAGTGATCCTCTCACCTTGGCCTTCTGACTAGCTGGGACTATAGGTGCATGTCACTGCACCTCGCTATAACAGTTATTTTAAAACCTTCCATTTGGAATAGGGGAGAGGAGAATACAATGGTCGCTAATCTACAGTATATAACACATCCTTCTGGACAGTGGAGTGAATTTCTTGGTCAACAAAACCTATTGTTTTTGGTCCTTTCCACTGGGAAATGTCTCCTTTGTCCGTTGTTCTTTATGCACATCCCTGAGAGGATGGACCTTTGGAACTGAAGCATCCCACTTCCCTTTTGACATGGTTTTGAGTTATTTATTGAGACAGTCTTCCTCTGTCGCCTAGGCTGGAGTGCAGTGGCATGATCTCAGCTCACTACAACCTCTACCTCCTGGGTTCAAGTGATTCTCATGCCGCAGCCTCCTGAGTAGCTGCGTTTACAGGTGCCCACCACCACACCTGGCTAATTTTTATATTTTTAGTAGAGATGGGGTTTCGCCATGTTGTTCAGGCTGGTCTTGAACTCCTGGCCTCAAGTGATAACACCTCCCTTGACCTCTCAAAGTGCTGGGATTACAGATGTGAGCCACTATGCCCAGCCAGTTTTGGGTTTAAAGGTTGCCGTAGAGATTAAGCATTCCCAGATCCTTGTTTGTCAGTTGTGAGGATTCTATGATTCGTGGGCTTTTTTTTGAGCTGGTAACCATCATGAGGGATCCTTGATAATGTCCTGCTCCGTGAGTCTCAATCTAGCTCATGTGGTTTCTGCGTCTTAGCACCAGGTCACACTTTGGCCATTCCCCTACCCCTCAGCTTCATGGTTTCCATAATGGCCTGTCCAAGGTGGTAAGTCAACCTTAATCTGCTCACTACCCCCAAAGAGAGATTACCTATTCAACACTTGGCCAACTCACGCTCCAGTGAGCTTGGTCTTGGCCAGATAGTCAAAATCCCTGAGCAGTACTGGCTTCTAGGCCTCAAGCCCCAAGGAGATGCATAGGACAGGATGGAAGCAACCAGTCAAGTACTCTTGGGCCAGCAACCTGCAGCTTGCTCTACTCCTCCAACTCTGGCCGTGGCCCATTATTACCCTGAGGCCACATTGTTGAAAGACTGCTCAGGGGAGTCTATCAGTTGACACTGAATTTTGGGGGCCCTCTGAGAACCTCTAGAACTTGGGGGCTCTGGGCAGAGTCTTCAGCCTCCAGCAGAGCCCCTATAATGAATTTCTTTTGCTGGATGCAACCTGGGTGTCTTGGATGTAGGGAGAAAAGTCCTCTGGTCTGAGATAGGACTGGTGACCTCTGACCTTGAAGCAGCTCTGGTTCTGCTATGTCCTCTGACCAGACCTGGGGGCTCACCCTGGCCTCAGTGGAGCAGAACATGCATATAATACCTTCCAAAGGAGGGTGCTGTGATGTGGAGATCACAGAATCTCACTTGATCCTTTCCAGCTTGGGCTGTAATCTTTGAGCAACCACTGTCCTGATTGTACTTGCCTCCATCATGACATAGCCAAACCCAGCAGGGACTCACAGGCTGTTTCTGGCCTCTGGGCCTCATTCATGGCTAGTATATTTGCACAATTATGTTACACAGCCCTGTATTATTTGGAAGAAACCGCATGAGTTCAGGGAGCTAAGAACCAATGTGGGCCATTCTGCTGCCCTTCCAGCCTGCAGCCTGAGCCAGCTGGGATTTGCAAAGAGGTGGCCAAGTCTGTGCCAAGTGCAAACTAAGAAGGGGCAGAGGGCCACACTTTTTCTCCCTAGCCCTAACTCCAGACACAGCTATTATGGCAACCTCTGCCCTCTAGAAGCCTGGGCTGACCAAAGCCTTTAGCTGACCATCTGTAGAGGGGACTTTGAACTTCCAGACTCTGGCCTCCTGCCCTCTAGTTGCCTAAAAGAATAGAAACTCAGAAGACAGAACAGGCCACAAGCTTTTGGCCTGGCTTTTCCCAAGGGATATCTTAGGTGCTCAGCAGAAAATGCAAGAGAGTAAAAAGAAAGCCTGTGGAATGGGCCTCAGCCTCCTGGGGAGTAGTCCCAAGATGGCCTGACCCAGTGACCTGACACTGGATTCCCGAGAGGAAGCCAGCAGTCTGGGCTGGATTCCCTGCATTTGAGTAGGGAAACTCAGCTGCATCCTCAGGTCCTTTATGTTACCCCACTGTTGGGACTTCGTGTAGCGATGGGGGCTTTGATTTTGTCTCCGTATCTTAACCCAAGTAGTCTAGAAAGCAGACTCTGAGGCAAGTGCTGACATTTTGCAGGGAGGTGGAAGTCCAGGATGGTGAAAGGGAGAAGAGACGAAGGCAATGCAAGATGATGCAGTACTGTGCTGGCCACCACTTCATATGAGCCATTAGGAGAGAGCAGGTCCCTTGTTGGGCTTGTTTGCCAAGCACATAGTGTTTGCAAGGAGAAATGGCACCTTGGGGCAGTTCACCAAGGGGAGATTTGAGAAGGAATTAATGCTTCTGTTCCCCTCTTTTCTCCTGTTTTCTGTTGGCCAAGATTGTACCCCACAAGGAGCTAACTCCCCTGCACTTCTCAGTTGCATCATTTGCTCCCTGGGTGGCTGTTGGGAAGTTAGCTCCCATGGTCTGCTGTGTGGCATTTCTACTATAGACGTGGAAGTAGAAAGGCTACTTAGCACAGGCAGGGTGCCAACCAAGAGAGAGAAAGAAGGAGGTGGCTTAGGGAATCCAAGAAGGTGCATGAAGTGCGTGCCCAATACATCCCATTCTCTCCCACAGGATTCACAGCCAGAGTCCCCAGGCACCAGAACCCCCAACACTGTCTGAATTCCAAGCCAAATACATCTTATTTAATTTGGGGGTGTGGAAAGGGAAGCATTCAGGTATAGCTTGGAGGATCAGAATTCTCCCCTTTTTTTCTGGAACTTCCCAGACCCTAAACTCACTCCAATATCTCCTACTGGATTTTCCACCTCTAGGCCTTTGTTCTTACTCACTTTAGTTTGGGGCAAAGGATTTGGCCCTTATAGTCTATAAGATGCATGATTATATGACCTTTAGCACCCTGGATTGCTGGTCAAAAGCAGAAAAGGCAGCGGGGCAAGTGCCTCATGCCTG